CTCACTTCCAGTTCCGGTTCACCAGCTCTCTGAGTTCCAGAATCCTACTCCTGTAGTTCACCTTAATAAACCTGTTAAACTTTTTCCCTGTTTCTCTGAATGGTTCTCTGCATTTGGGTCAGATCCTTAAACAATCATGACAGCCCCCCCCCCCCCTGGTAAATTTGTTCTAGAATCATGAATAGAGATAGATCATGTTAAAAAAAAAAAACACTGTACAAAAGATTGGTTTAAGTTGTCCATCAGAAATTAGCTTCATGCCTGCAGCAGCTCACATACCTTCAGATCAAGGTGCAGTCGGACCTAGAACGTTTTAATGTGAGCAGCAACACCTTCACATATAGAATATATTGTAGTCTAATCCTCAACATAATTGTCAATGAAGCAGGCCTCATCTGTGTAAATGATCCACAGATTTAAATTTGAGTTGCACTTGTAATTCTTGTAGTTTACAGCAGAGGAAGTTATTCCCAGGGTGAATGTTGGGTGCAGAGTTCTGCTGGGTGTTTACTAAAGACAGACCACATATTGTGGGGCTTTGGTTATAAAGCAAAGCCCTACTTCATGACCAGACGTCTGCACAACATCTTTAACCAGAACACATATAGGCTTTTAAAACGCTTATATTAAAAATGTAATGGGAACTATGTTTAAAGAAAAGGAAAACTCAGCGATAAAGGCTGTGGGACAATTTAAATAAGTACTGGATGAGGGAGTTGAATTTGTTGAATTCCTTTTCCATAAAGAGGGGGGAGTGATGAGCTAGGCTTTCCTGCACTTTCTGCCACTGATTTTGATTTTTGAGAGGCTCAAAGAGAACCACTGTTTTCCTATATCTGTTTTCTTTCCTGTTTTGTGGAATTGCTGTTGAATTGCTGTCGTTTTTGACGGCCATCTTAGATTTTGTCTTAGTGTTCTTCTTCAGAATGAAAATTATTATTAGTTTTTGTCCCATTTTAGTCATTACTATATGTGATAGTTTTAGTCCAGTTTTAGTCGACTAAAACTCAAAAAGGTTTTAGTCTAGTTTTAGTCAATTTTATCTAGCAATTCACAAAACAGCTAACCTTAAGAATTTCGAATAATAAACCGATTATTTACCAGACTTTTAGCTCTTGTCTGGATACTAGGATTCAGTGGTTTCATACTGCTACTGTGCAGTTCAACATTGCTGTTGGGTGAAAAACTTTTATTAAAAGAATTCAAAGAAACTTTTTTATGAATTTTTGCCCTACTTTATACAAAAGTGTTTCACTAAAGTTGCAAAAATAGTAGATCTAGTGCAACGCATCATATTGTTTAATATAGCAGACAGACAAGCTAACAAAATTTACAATAAAGGAATGGTTTTACACATACGAGGTTTCCATCTAAAAGCAAATACTTTCTGATCTACCATCAATTATGGATTACACACAGATCAATCAATCTCCATTACTCCAAAAAAAGCAACTACTTTGGCTATTTTGTCTTTATTTCAAATAATTGTCTCTGAAACATTATTAGTTTAACTTTTTTATTGTTTTTTTTTTAAAGTCAAACTGTTTTTAATGTTCTTTTTTGTTTCTGCATTTTTTATTTTATTTTATTTTTTTCCTACTCTGTTTTATTTTCCTATATTTTAATCATGTAAAGCACTTTGCATTGTCTTTGTACTGAATTGTGCTATAGGAATAAATTTGCCTTGCCTTGCCTTGCCTTTGGTTCCCGCGGCTCAGCGGCAAAGTGAGGGCAGGAAGAACCATACTGCTGAGAGCGAACCATCAGCGTGGAGCGTGAAGCGCAGACTCTGAGAGAAGAGCACGCAAAGACGCATTTCTGCACAAGCACAGCTGGAAGAGCAGAGTTTATCAGAGTACCGGATCATTCCTTATTACTTCCACCCCTGCTGCTGCTGCT